TTGCAGCGTCTCCTGTGCCTGGGGCCACTTCAGCTCCTCCTCAGGTGATTGGGGTCCCTGAGGGCCTGACCAGGAACTGAGAGGCACTCAGGGCCATGAAAGGCACCAGGAATATGCAGGATCTGCACAGATGTGCTGCTCCTCTGACAGACCACAGGCCTGCATAGGCTAAGCCCAGGTGCAGGTGGGAGAGCAGAGGAGCAGTGTGTGTGTGTCTGTCCCATCCTGTGCCTGGGCAGGGAAAGGGCTCATGTCCCTCCAAGGACATGTCATGGTGGGTGAGGGCGAGAAGGATGAGAAACACACTCAGTGGGGAAACTGAGAAGGGTTAGGGATAGGGAATGTAAAGAGAAGAAAAACAAATGAGTGAGTAAGGACAGGCAGCAGAGAAAGAAGACGCGGTCATGTAGGTGCATTGTATACGAGAAGCTGATGCAGCAAAAGATTTGCTGGAATGGAAAGGGCTTGAACTAATCTCAGCTGTCACTCCTATAGGAATCCAGGAGACAAACTCATTCATTTCAAAATGGAGAGTTCTTTAATTGCTGACTAACACTTTTCTCTTTAACATTTCTTTTTCAGTCTCAAAGAGCAAAAGTTCCAATGGGAGCTGCATACTTTGGAGATGAAAGTTTAGAATTGTGATGAAATCCTGTCCCCTTTCATGCAGATTTGCAAGACTGCTGCAGTCCCACACTTCGGAGAGCAGTGTGTTCTGTGTTAGTGACATAGGAGTGTAGTGCAGGCTGTGCAGTCCCACCTGGTGAGACTTGTCCTGGCACTGCACCTCATTGTAACGAAGTAAAAAAACAGTTCAGGGCAATGAGAAATCCTTGTGTAGTGGGTTTCTGTGGCTGGGTTTTGGTAGCAGGGGGGCTACAGGGGTGGCTTCTGTTAGAAGCTGCTAGGAAGCTTCCCCTGTCCCATGGAGCCAATGCCAGCAGGCTCCAGGATGGACTTCCTGTCGCTAGCCAAGGCTGAGCCGACTAGGAGTGACAGTAACACCTCTGGGATAATGTATTTAGGAACAGAAGGTTGTTGCGCAGAAAGAACTCCAGCCAGGGAAGAGTGGAGTGAGAACATGGGAACAGCAATGCAGACCCCAAGGGCAGTGCAGAAGGAGGGGCAGGAGGTGCTCAAGGCACCGGAGCTGTGCCCCTGTGGCCTGTGGTGCAGAGCAGGGTGGGGCAGCTGTGTCCCTGTGCCCGTGGGGGAGCATCGAGGTGCAGAGACCCCCCTGCAGCCCATGGAGGAGCCCATGCTGGAGCAGGTGGATGCAGGAAGGCGGCTGTGACTCCGTGGAAGGCCCAGGATAGGGCAGGGTCCTGCTGGAGACATGCAGGCTATGGAGAGGGAAGCCCAGGCTGGAGCAGGTTTTTCCCGGGTAGGACTTGTGGCCCCTGTGGGGGACCCACACCAGTACAGCTCATCTGTCAAGGACTGACCCCATGGAGGAGTGACCCACGGGACAGCAGGTTGGGAAGAACTGCTGCCCGAAGGATGGACTCACCCTGGAGAGGTCCATCAAGGACTGTCTCCCGTGGGAGAGGCCCCACGAGAGCAGGGGAAGGACTCCAACTCCTCTCCCCGAGCAGCGGCAGAAACAACAACTGACTGTAACCCCCATTCCCCATCGCCCTGCACTGCTGGCATTGGCATTTCTTTCATACTGACTGTATCTTTGGGGGTAATTCATTCAAGTCAATAAGTATCAGTAGTTTCCAACATAACACTGATTATACTTATATGATGAACGTGTCGTCTGATCTAGGCCTTGAAATATTTTACTGCTTCAGAATAGCATGGCATGGGAAAGATGCAGGTAGAAAGAGATTCAGGGCAAAGAGATTGAACAGGAGGGAGAACATGGAAGGAAGGAGGGGTGGGGGGATGTGCTTTTAAGACTATTTTATTTCTCACTCTTTGATTCTTATCCTGTTAGTAATAAATTTAAGTACTACCCCCACTGTGAGTCTGTTTTGCCCATGAAGGTAATCAGCAAGTGACCTCTCCTAGCTGTTATCTCAACTCGTGAATCCTTAGCTGTTTTTTTTTTTCTCTTCTCTGTCCAGTTGCAGAGGGAGAGTAAGAGAGTGGCTTTAGTAGGTACTTGGTATCTGGCTAGGGTCAACCCACTACGCCTTGCTAAAACTCTGTCTGTTTGTCCATGTAATGTCATTTTGCACTGGCTTTCTGCATAATTTTCATATTTGAATGTTTCTTTGTGACTCCCGCACCGAGAAGCTGAGGCCCAAGGGCTTTCTCCAGAGCAAATACAGCCAACAGTGATTTCCGACCTGAATATAAAGACACTCGTCCTTCATGTATACAAACAGAATCCTGTTCAGATCATGTGTGTGAAAGGCTGTTGCCCACTTTGTGGGATTGAAAACATCAAGCACAAGTCATTCAGAAACATCTCATATGACCACCAAAGTAACACGACTTCCAGAAAAGCCTGCTGAAGGTGCAAGTGCCTCCTCCACTGAGCCACTCAGGTGCAGCTCTAGGGCTCCAAGCTGGATTCAAGTGTGATATTGGGACATCTGTATCAAAGGAGACCTCTCCTGAATGTGTTCCTTGCAGGTGACAGCTGTCCCTAGGGACAACAAACCTGCCTGGCTGGATAGGAAGGTATCAGATCCAGTGAGAGGAAGGAATGAAGAAGCTGAGGCAGAGCATATGAAAAGAAAAAAGGTCTTTTGCCTTCCCAGCTCTCTGCTCCCAAGGAGTAACCTCAGTTTGATTTAGGCCTGGTTTCTGCTGACACATGATAGAAATCCTGCATCCCTTCATCTTCTCATGGTGGACCTGAATGGCAGCTCTGAGAGAACCAATGCCTGATAAGCCCTGACTTCCAAACAACACAGGGCACCACTGATTGGCAGCTCACAGTTCATTCCCTGCCCACTCCTCCAGAGAGTCATATTGGAGAAGAAGCTGTGTCTGGATGGCCCGTGACAGCACTGGACACCCGTATCTTGTGCTCATTTTATTCAGAAGCGCCCACTGCAGGGAACAGCTTGGTTTCCATAGCAGAAATGCACAGTAAGTTCTGTGTCTAATACTGTTAAATTACTTTGCTAAGTCTGCTTGAAATATATACATGTTCTAATACAGACTTATTGTGTTGCCTAAAGATAGGGAGCCAAAAAACCTCACCAGGCTAATTTAGTAGAGATAATAGAGCAGGTCTTTAATGAAGGCCTTCTGGCCACGGGAGTACAAACAAGGTGTGCGTGCCCATGTCCAGGGGTTCCACGATTTATGGTCTGACCTGAGAACTACCCACCTGGTCATGCCTCCCTGGAAATTGAGTCAAAGGTCCTAAGACCCCTTTCTTCCTCATCTTCCTTTTCACAGCATGTCTTTGGAGCTTCTCCAAGGTTCCAGGCTTGAAGGTTGCTTTTACTATGATGGTATCTTGTTCTTCAGGCCTGGGGTGCAAATGTTCTTAAAGAGAAGGTGTTTACTACAGTTCTACCTTGAGAGGAGCCTAAACAAGCCTAAAGAATTTAGAAAATTCGATATAAAATGGGGAATAGGGTTTGATGAGTGTTAATACAATTCGAAATTGTGATAGACTATACAGCTACACTAAAATCTACAAAAAGCTAAAAATCCTAAAAATTCAAAGGCATAATTGAAAACAACAGTGGAGGTTTATCACTAAAATATTGCAACAAATGAGCTTTACTGATGCTTTTCATGTTAGTATGTTGCTTCTTTTCACAGAATTCTGTTACCATGTAGACATGGTAACACAAATTTATGCCACTGGTTTTCTATCTTACCCCTTGTACTAAACCAACAATTAAACAGTAACTTTTCAATTTTTCTGATGTTTCAGATCACCTCTGACAGAACCTCTGCCAACTATAGAGCAGAAAGGACCTGGGGATCCGGAAGAAGAACCCAGTTAGGCCAACAGATACAGATGAGAGGCCTATGTCTGCACCTCAAAAAGAAAAAAAAAAATCGAGTAAAAAAGCATACAATGAAAAATTCTCCTTGACCTTTGTGTCATTCTGGATGAGGTTCTTTTCTCTGGTATTGATTTCAGCTGTGGAAGTTATAGTTGTCTGGGTTTAGCAAGCTCTGCAAACCCTTCCAGTCTGTTGGACAACCTTCTAGCCGATGCTTTTGAGACCTGGCTGTGTGTCTACTGCCTGCTATTCTGAGCGGTCTACTGAAAGCCCCATGTCCAGATCTCTTCCCAATGCTTGACCACCCTTTCTGTGAAGAAATTCCTCCTAATGTCCAACCTGAACCTCCCCTGGCACAGCTTGAGGCCGTTTCCTCTCACCCCGTCCCTTGTTCCCTGGGAACAGAGCCTGACTCACCCCCCCCCACACTCCCCCCTCCTGTCAGGGAGTTGTAGAGCCAGAAAGTCCCCTCTGAGCCTTCTTTTCTCCCTGAGCCCCCCCAGCTTCTTCAGCTGCTCCTGCTGCTCCAGTCCCTTCCCCAGCTCCATTCCCTTCTCTGGACATGCTCCTTTTAATTCATTCTCTCCCTTCTGGTTATAGCAATAGATCACTTTTAGTAGACTGAACCAAGAAAACAAAACTAATCCAAATGCTACATATACATTTCTTATTGTTGCCAAAATAGGTTATTATCACATATTTGGAAAATGGACAGGGTTACCAGAATAGATTATCTTCTGAATGAGAGTGCAGGAATAAGAGAAGGCTTTAACTGTAGGAATGAAATTATCAACATGCACCAGAAGGAGTTGTCTCATATGCTGAATTGCTCACAAAATGCAAAGATAAGCACCAAGTTTCTTGTTCATTTTTAAAGAAAGATGTTCAGCATTTTTTACTGCTTAATGTTAGTTTTACAGTAATTTTGAAGACAATTCCCAGTGGGATTTGCAGCTTGCAAATGCTATTCCTCAGCTATGCTGTTAATATTTATAACACATGCCAAGAGGGATCTTTGTGCCTGTGGACCGATAAGGAATGTGTAGCCTCATACTGAAGATCCCTGGGTAAAACAAGACCTCTCAGGAATGCTGGCATGAGACAAGGAGAAATGCCAGAACACCAATTCTCTGGTGCAAAGCTTCTTGTTCTGATACTTTAGCTAAGATGTGCCTAGGCACTGGATCCTGGAGATGGTAAGAATGATTTTCACATAAAAAGTTCTTTTTATTCTATTGAAAGGTAGATGTTGTGTTGAATTCAATGAAATACGATAAGTACTTTCTCTGTTCCTGGCATAATGTATTTAAACTGGGTAATGGTGGTTTATCTAGGTAAGATGTGTCCTTCAGAGACTTGAGCTATGAGTCCAGATGAGCAGTGCTAAAAAGGATGGACAGGAAAAAAGTTGGGGATTACGTCTAGGGAAAAGCCAGTGTTAAGCCTAACAAATAAAAGATTGACTAACCTGGTTGAGCTAGTTACTGATTTGGCCATTGCAGAGACAGAACACGAGTGACCTTTGTGCCTGCGGCTGTTCAGAACCTCCTGTGTCTCAGGGTAGCTATGGATGGACTGAGGCGGCCTTGTGATCTGATCCTGTTCCTTCCTTCAGACACTAATTTCTGCAATGCTTGATACAGTTATTATTTGATCTCACAGCAGGGAAAACAGATGTGCACTCTGAAGTTTTAATAATATATATTAAACTTAAGAATGTGTTTATTTTGCTCTGATGACACCTAAGTATCTGCCTCTGAGGAAAAGTAACAGTCTTCCAAAGTGAAGAGAGAGGGCAAAACTAGCTAGAGATTAGTGACAGTTAACTCACAGCACTTTTAGATTTAATGATGAACAGCTTTTGACTGTGCATGAGATTTCCATGGTTACTCAAATTCCTTCCATCTTGACAGCAAATGTCAGAGAAAGATACATGAGCAGTAGGTTCTGGATGAGGAGGTGACATTCAGAATGCCCTTTCCATCACATGCCAAAGCAGCTGAACAGCTTCAGTTACAGAACAGGTGAGTGGGGTGGACAGGCTCTGATGGCAATGGAAGGAGAAGGAAAAGGCAAAAGGAGTTGGAGAGTGGCATGGAAGGAGAAGAAATGAGAACAGCACCATGAAATAAAATTAGCAGACACTTGATTAATTGTCTCATTTCTCTGTTGACTGCATTTACAAGAGAAACAGGGGGAAGCTACACTGTGGAGATAGACTTGTTTAGATTTGCACAACTAACCTTTTGTTTCTCTATGTGAGTGTTGCAATTATATAAAAAATGTTTACCTCCTTTCTTCAAAAACGAATACATCAGAACATTAAATTATGTGAGACATTCTCAAATGCAGAAAGAGTTTGCAGTATTTTGATACCACATTTTCCGTTGGTAATTGCCATATTCATTATTTACATAGAAAAAACAGGATTCTCAAAATTTGTTTTAATTTTCAAGAATAATAGGATAACACCTCTTACTGAAGGATGGGATATATTTGTATTTATGCAAAATTACCCTATTTTAATAATAGTCTAATAAACTAAATGTGCAATGAGCACTTCATTGATCACTGCCATGCCAGGTGGCACAGATCAGTCTCCTCAGCTCAGTGACAAGTCCTTCCAGCCTGCCATGTATTCCTGGAGCAGGGAACTTTGTAGGCTCTGGGACCAGAGCCATCCCATGACCCCACACTGCTCTTGCACTCACACAGTAGCTAAGCTTGGACTTTACCTCTTTGGGCGCTGATTCCAAAACCTTGCTGTGTGCTGGGCTGTGTTCCTCCCAGCAGTCCCGTGCTGTCATGGTGGGGCTGGAAGGGTGTAAGAGCACTATCATGAGAGCTGTGCAGCAAAGCTGAGGGGCCAGGTGAGTTCCTCCTTGCCTGGGGTGTGATGGGGAGCTCACAGCTGAACTGGTGAATCTGCCTTTAATGACAAAGTGTGTCTGAAATGTTTATGGCCATTTGTGCTGGCACACAGCATTTGTGTTCCAGAGATCCCCTGCCAATCCCTGCAATGTGGGTCAGAAGCTCTATTTGAGCCAAATAACTGCATCTATTGCAAACTTTTCTCCGAGAGGCTTTTCTTTATGGCCATTATGGATCAACATTTTTTCAGGACCTTTGTACTAGTACTGATCACATGACAGACAACTGTAAAAATAGTGCATCAATGCCAAGTCATCTCCGCCCCCCACGCATAGCAGATAATCACAAAACAAGAACAGTAAAACTTTAGTTTTTCATTGGTGTTCTACATGTGTTCTAATAAAGTAATATATTTGATTCTTAATAAAGCTGCACTGTAATTCCCTGGAGAATATGTAGGACCAGAATAATCTATCTAAAGATGACTTCAGGCAGAGCACAAGTTGTCTGAAATGATTAGTTTAGACTGAAAATTACAGCAAGTTGTAAGAATCCTAAAAAAAAACCCCTGCAAAATTAAACATTCAGTAAGTGTGCTATGAGTTTAAAATCCCAAGGAATATGATAATTTTCAAGTAAGGCATATAATATATTTAAGGTATTTATAATTTATGGTAGATATTTTAATAATTTTATTTTGTTCAAGATATATTGTCCAAAGTAAAGATGCTGTTTTTCTTATTCACTTAGTTACCAATCCAATCCAGTGAGTTGTTCCTGCTACAGAAACATTCTAGGCCTGCATAACATCCAAACACAAACACAAAACAAAAAAATTCCCTTGAAATATCAAAATAACCTTTTTTTTTATTTTCAGTGTTAATTGTGATGGGTTACAACCTCCACTTCCTTTTCTTCTTAATTCAAGAGCCATAATCCATCTCATCTAATCTTCCCAAAAGCACTTTCTTTCTCTTAATTCAATTTCCTTCTGAAAATCTGAGACAACTGCTCCAGTTTCCTAGAGTTACTTCTAATTCTGATGCCATTTTACGCTGCCGAAGGGCTTGGATGTCCCTGTCCCAAAAGCTCTCATGACCTTCACAAAGTCTGCTGCGTAAGAACCATGTGGGTAATCACAGCAGGTAGTTGTGATAGTCAAGGTGGAGTCAAGAGGGCAGTTCCTGTGGCAGAAATATGGTGGTGGTTACCAAGTGTGGCACTGAATACCCCTGCTCTATAAGGCAACAAAAATCATAGGATAGGGTGCCCACGTATTCTTTACCTGCCATTGTGTGTGTTATCCCAGAATCTATTGCCCCTCGAGACCCAGGTCTCTGTCAGGCTCATGCTGGGACAGCCTCTTACTGTCTCAGTAGCTGCATCATGAAAGAAAAGTCACATTCTGGGCACAGAGTACTCCTTGGAGAAGGGATCTGAAGAACCAACAACATGAAGCACAACTCAATTAAGGCAAGTATCTGTTCTTGGCCTTCCAAAACCCCTCCCTCCTGCAGCAGTGAGTAACTCACTGCCACATGCCAGGGCAGAAGGAGAGGAAAGGCTTTGCCTGGGTCAGTGGGAGGAAGGAGGTGACTGTCAGGCACTGGAGCTGGAGGGCACGTCTGTGCCTGCAACCTCAGCTGCAGAGACACTCCCAGATGGGACTGTGCCTTTTGGGACAAGAACAGCATCTTTGGGAGTGGGTGTCACCCATGCCCTTCCTCACCTGGGGTCTGCACATGCTGCCACGGTGCAACGAGCACTGATTGTATGGGGAGCCTTTGAGCATTAATGCTTAGTGTCAAACAGGAAAATGCCATGGAAGCAAATCCTGTTGTCCCACACTTTCGTTTACATGACAGGTATGCCCCAGGGACACACTGAATGTGCTCCCACTTCAGACTAGCATTCAGCTCTTGGGACTCGCATCCTCTACCCTGAAATCCAACTTAGCCTATGTGCCTGGTCCTCAGCACTTGCTGTTCTCCCCCACTGATCTCCCATTATGTTGCTCTACCCAGTAAGGGAGAGGCAGCCTGGGTTTCAGGTGTATGTGATTACCTGTGTGTTTTGAGGTGCCCTACAGGTGGGAACGGCTTATCTGCACTTAAGGCTGCAAAGGCTTTCTCTGTTGCTCCTGCTGGTCTGAGCCCAGGAGGTGCTTGTCTGCAGCAGCTGGACCTCATCCTAGGAGGAGTGAGGGTGCTCCAGAGCCCTGGGCCTCTCCTCATACCTTCACTGTCAAGGTCCAGCCAGATCACGGGTGCCAAAAGAGGTGCTGCAGTCGCTCTCCTGAGGCTGCTCTGCAGAGTGTGCAGTGGAGGTGGCAGGGCCCTGATGCTGCGTGTTGTCCTTTTGACAGTCACTCCCAAGCAGCTGTGTGATTCCCTTTCTGGGCAGAGAGCCCAGTGCAGATGAGGCCCTGCACACTGACCAGTGTCTGCTTCTGTCACCTCAGGGTGTTTTCTTCCAGCACTGGTGAGCAGAACATTCCCAGATGTTCTTTGGCCCATGCCACCTGACTTTGTTCTGTCCCAGTGGGGAGCAGATGAAACCGGCTGGGTGCTCTGGTTGCCTTTGAACCCCTGTGCTGTGATTTGCTCCCAGTCCGTGGGCCCGGCAGTTGCAGCAGGTTTAAAGCCCCCCGGCTGAGTGAGGCCGAGCGGCTGCTGTGCAGAGGAGCAGCTGCCCAGAGGAGGGTCCCGTGATGGCTCCAGGCTGCCATCCCCTGGCAGTGGGGCCTGGAGCAGAGGGGGAGATCGGGGCCGCCCCGCCGAGCTCCCTGGGACTGACAGGGGCCGGGTGGGGCCGGGAGAGGCTCCCCCGGCTCCCCCCGGCGATAATTCCATCGTCTTTCTGCCAAGGATCCCTGACGGAACTTGTCTGTCTTTCCGTGTCGGGTGACAAGGCCCAGGCTGAGGATAAAGCTGATGGGGCCGAGGCCGTCAGAGCAGCAGCGCCAGGGCTGAGGCGACAGGCACAGTCCGCGCCCAGCTGATGGCCCCGGCCTGGGTGTGCTCTGTCCGGTGGCCCCGGGGCCGGAGCCGGCAGGGACGGGCTTTCCGGAGCTCTGCAGAGGGCCCGGGCAGTCGGGCTGCAGGCGGGGCTGGGTCTCCATGAGCACCGTCTCACGGCCACCAGCCTGGCCAGGGCTCCTCCTTCAGCCCAGATACCGCCGTGGCCTTTGAGGGATCTCTGGGCTTCGACCCTACAGCCTTCGCTCAGCGAGTGCTGGGAAAACACAGCTTGAGCAAAGGGATATGGCCCCTGCAAGCGCTGCCGAACCTGGGAGCAAGCCCTGCCTCTGCCTTCTTCCTTCTTCCTCACCCAGACTGGGACTCCAGGGTGGAGGCTGGAAAATGCTGCATTTTCAGAGCTACAGCCCAGCCCGCCTTTTCCATGGGTAGGTTTACAAGAGGGGGGATGCGCCCCCGACCCCAGTGAGCCCCAGCTGACTGCTGGAAGTACCTGGGCAGCTGTTGTGTTCCCTGTGGGACAGCACGTCCCAGGAGAGAGGGGAGAGCGCCCAGGTGCTGGGTTGGCACAGCACGGGCTCCAAAGGGGCCACTCTGGATTCAGACTCTGAGCAGGGAGAGCACACTCGGGCCGCAGTCTGACATTTAACCTTTCAGCTGGGAATGGAGTTGTGCTGGAGCAAGTCTCCCTGGGGTAAGAATAGCATCTGCTGTCTTGGGACACAGCACAGTTGTCCAGCTCCTCCACGGCAGTACACGGCACTGAGACACAGAAGGCAGCCTACCCTCCCAGGAATGTCTCAGGCACTATTAGTGGAAGTGAATCATGCCCACAGACAGGCACGACCCTGAACAGGAGTCTTAGGAGATCAGGGCTATTTTGGGCCTTTGTCACTGCAGAGGAAAGGAGACACATGATGTCTTCACGTAGCTGCCTGCTTCATTTTCAGCCACATGCGTGAGAGTTGGAGAGATAGCAGAGGGCATGTAACTGTGTGCAAGTGAAAGGGGCAGGAGGCTGGAGGAAGAAACAGTCTAAAGAAGGCTGTGGTAAGTCAGAACACAGTTATAGCCCTTGATGTGAGAGCTGCTTCTTCAGTGACTTGACTGCCTTTTCAGAGGACCGGTGCCCTCTGAGACAACGCTTTTGGACAAGTCATCAAAGAAACTCTCCA